TGCTCTCGCGAAGTTGGAGGATTACCTGGAGTGGAAGAAGATTGACTTTGTTCGCATTGACGGGCAGGCTGTGAGAGTATTGGTGTCGAAAAGCACTGACATTGAGAGTCGAACTGAACCTCTGAGCACGACGGAAGGTGCCTCATGTGGAGCGTCTCGCCCGGCTCAAGCGTTTCGAGCACGAAGCTGTGCCCGTGTTCTTGTTGCCGCAGCCTCGTACCCAAGAGTGGTGAACGCCTCTCGTGTTCCTCTGCTGTCAAAGGTCCTCCCGGGCTGGAGGCCTTGGGCTGAACCTGCAGGTGGTGGGCACCTCGTGGAGCACAGGTTGAACGCAGGGTCTTCTCACGGAGCGCGAATGCCGAGGCTGACACGGTTGTGCTTTTCGACCTCGACTGGAATCCTCAGAATGACAAACAGGCCCGTCACTCAGCTTAGTCTCATGTACAACATTTTGGAAAAAACTTAGACGTTTGAAACTTGTGTTTTTTCTCTAGGACCCCTGTCTGAATCCGCGCTGTCTTGCTTTCTACAGCGCACATTCACACCTGTTGACGGTCTAAATTGCAGCAGCATGTTGCAGCATGCTAAAGATGTTTGCGCCCCGCAAGTTTTGCTTCAAAGAGTTCAGGCTTTCGAGTTCAGGATTTGGGCATGGGCTGCCACGGGAATGCAAATCGCGAAACCCCCGCAAACTCCAACATCGCTTTCTCTAGCGGCTGCGACAGCGACAGACGCAGAATGTCCGTTACAGCCGTGGCGTTTTGCAACTGGACGCAGCCGTGCCGTTGCCCAACAACAGACTTTCCTGAGTAGCTTTGTCATCTCAAGGAAGTTTGCAAGGTGGGCTTGCCAGCTGCCACAGTTTCGGGGTTCGGAGTTGGGCTCAAGACCTCGACGAATCAGCCAGAAAAGGAGGATTTGAGCACGTGTTTCTCGAGGCCGTTGCTCGAGTGCACCGCGTGGGCCAAACTCGCGAAGTCCGAATTGCTTGTGGCTCAGGTGTGGATTGCACCTGTTCTTTCCCGATGATCTTGCGAGACCAGAAATGGCTGCAGCCACATGCTGTCAAGGTCAGACTCATCTCAGAATCCCGTGCCCGTGGCTTAGACGGCAGCAGCTTGCACCCCTCTTGTCTCATCCCTCGTTTTAAGAGAGCTTGGTAGGTGGAGCGGCACATGGTGGAGCGGTGCACAGCCAAGCTGCAGATGGAGCAAAAGATCCTCGGAGCTGGTATGTGGGAAGCTGAGCGTATGCAAGCTCAAGAGAGCCTGGGCTGGTTGCTTGAGCTGGTGAGGTGATGAAGCGCACACCTTCATACAAAATCATACTGCCATGGGCCATGTACATAGCCTGCATCCAGGCATCTGCGAACATTTAGCATTGTTTGTTTAGCCACATTCCTATGCACCCAAGACCCATGCCGCCTTGGAGCCGTGGACCTGCAACATCATGGGTTGAGAGGGGAGTTCTCGGCGAAGGGTGGCAGTTTACGAACAGCCGATGGTATGTTCAGAAACAGTGCGAGATCAAGGATCAAGATGACGTCAGAAGTTTGAGGGCAGCAAAGAACCGCAATTGCCTTGGCAAACGGCATTTGCTCCGTGCGCGTGTGGGGCAGTTCCGAAGCAGTTACAAGACTTACCAAGACTTGCTCTTTCGCGAGGTTTCGGCAGGCCACTGCCGAACAGCGCCGCGGGGCGCTCCGTGCCGTGCTAGGCCTTGAGGCCATGTGCAACCACAACCGGCTCGTATTAGTTGAACACTAACATGGGGTGCTCTTAGGAGCCGTGTTTCAAATGTTAGGATATAAGATCCGTAGGAAATCAAACAGCAGGAACATTGAGTAAGACTAAGATTTGGCTGAACAGATGCGAGGCCAGAAGCTTTTTCCGCACTCTTTGTCCGAAGGAGTGTTTGCGCGAGCCGCCTGATCCCTGTGTCATCTGACTGTCGCAGGATGGCGCCACTCCACAGCACACCTCAGAGGCCAGCCCAGCGCGAGGTAGGCGTGTCTCAAGATCTCAAAAAGAAGACGTATGCTCGGGACATCTCCAAATCCGCGAAGTGTCGTGTTATGGCGGTTTAGAGTTGGAGTTCGTTAACTCGGTTTTTAGCATGGTGACTCGAAGGTGAAGGACCCCAAGGGCGTTCAACTGACGACCCCAGAGGCTCATGTGGCAGCGGGGCAGTCGTTGCGTACCGAAGTCGGGGGTCAAACGGGTCGATCAGCTTTCGCATGCTTTCGCTTTTTGTCCACGTGCCAGGAGTTGAATAGACACCTGGCCAGAAGCGAGGAGGACTTCACTCGGTGTTCTCACTTGCAGTTCTTTGTTGATGTCCTTTTAGCGTCCGGTAGTGCGCTGGAGATCGGGTTTCAGGCTTCGGGCTTAGGCTTGTTTCGTTGTGGTCTGGAATGTCGCTTGTCATGACCTTGCCGCCACGGGCTGGAACGTAGGATGGTCTCCATGTAGCATGCAGCATGGTGCCCGCTAGTTACCGCAAGTTGCACATCCTGGCACAGAATAGCCCGAAGTTCCATGAGGAGCTGAAGGTGTTCATGGACATGGATGCAGAGTTGCTGCGGCCAAGACGCTTGCTGCCGCTCGAACTCAAGGACTCCTGGCAAGAGCATCATTGCCGGAGTCTATGTCGTATGCTTGACATCATGCCGTGTGCAGTATCGAGCAAATCTAGCTCCGCAACACACGAGGATGCACCACAGCTGGTCCGCTGTGGGCGGCTGATGCGGCCTTCTGAGGCTGGACACTTGGGCAGCATGGTGGTCGACACGGGTTTGCCAGTGCGTCTGGATGCGCAAGCCAAGCTGGCCTGAAGGGGGAGCGTCGTCGCTGTTGCAATTATGCCCGATCAGAACTGAAGCACTTTCTGGCTGCGCGACCAGGTTCCCGATGGGTCGGCAACCCAGCTGCCCGACTCACAACTCCATGCAACACATTGGGCACTACCTGCCTAGCGTCCGCACAGGAGCATGCGGTCAGCTTGAATGGAAGACCTGAGCAGGGAATGCGGCATTGTGTGCGCATTCACCGGCCCAGGTTCACCGGCAGAGCATGGGATTGACCTGAAAGCGCGCAAGGACTTCTTCAGGGCGAAGGTGCTTCTGCTGTGCTGCTTTACAACTTCCGTTCGTATTTGGTCCAGGTTACACGGTGCATCATCACTCGTAGAACCATCCAAACCATCCGGGGCTTTTCCCTTGTGCTCATCGTACCCTGCACATGAACTGGTGGCCGTGCTGGGAAAGGTGCTCCCCGACGATATCGCTGTGGTTTGCTGTGCGTGGTCATGGTCAGATATGTTTTCGGAGATCGATGCCTGGTACAGGGACGCGGAGACTTCCATGTGTTCAGCTCTGCTATGAGCTGTCCCACCGGGAACGCTGAAGACAAAGCAGCTGCAGATTTCAGCAGACAGCGCTTCAGTTAGCAACGAGTTTTTTGAGGTTTCTGCCATGTCGTGTTTGATCGCGAGCACTTCAGAGGGGTTACTGGAGACTGCGGGCAAGCTCGCCATCAAAAAAGTTTTTGTGATGCATGCAGGGCATCAGTGCATTCGCGGGCTTTCGCTGGCTGTGGACGGGTGAAGACAGGAATAGGCTCAAGCCGCCAGGCCTTGGCGCTCACACAAGGTGGTTCTTCGATGCGGGCGCAGATACCGACATACTGGTAAACTGGTAGCTTCTCTTTCTTGCAAGGACTTTGGCAGGGGTCCAGGAAACAGCCTAGCAAGGGAGATGTCGTCATACACACAGCAGATAGGAGTACTTGGAGTTGCTAGTGCCCGTGAGCACAACTTCGACGTCCGATCGCGACTTGGTCCGGTCCCCATGGGCTTCAACCCTGTAGTTCAAGACTTTCACCCTCTAGACTCGAGAGCCCAGGCCGCAGGCCGCAGGCCGGAAGAGGCCGAAGCGCAACCAGCGCCGATGTCGGTGTCGCAGCCAGCTTTCGTGAGGCCCTCGGATTGCCGTCCCGCAGCAGATCCCAAAATGGGGCAGTTGGATTCAGGCTTGCAGTCAGCATCTGCTCCAAGCGAGGAAAGGAGATCGGAAGCGAACTTTCGGGGGCCTTGGGTTGCATCCGAGGCTGCAGGGCTGCATGCAGCGCGGCGCACCCAGCAGACGCAGCGAATTCCGCAGGCAGCCTTCCTCTCGAATGGAATGGGTTTGATAATGTGACCTGTGCCGAAGCGCCTCGCCGCCTCGTGCACATCCGGCCGTCACACAGCAACGTCCCAAGCACAGCACGGCAACATCGTTTGTGGCGTGTAGCTTTGATGGTAAAGCCCGCAGATGCTGAGCCGATTGGCAGACTCTGTTTCGGAGCATATTCCAGACACTTCTGGGAGCCTTGAGTGCAGGCGCTGATGACCAGAATTTCCACGAGCGAGGCTCAAAAGATCATCAAGGCGACATGCTGTTGAACGAATGAGTCTGTATGTGCTCAGGCGTTTGTACGTGGCTCTACCGATTGTGCTGAACGGAAAATCTACAGAGGCCTCCAAGACGGTCGAGGACATGGTGTCGAACATCGTGGGGAGGTGCACAGAAGTGCATAGGTGCTCCTGTATAGCAGCAGATATTGCAGTAAATAGTAGACTTGCTCATATTGCGGACCCAGCTGCTACAATGACACCTGTTAGAGTAGGGCTGGAGAGCTTGCGTTGACGACTGCATGCATGCCTCGAGTGTCGCGATGTGCAATGCACGTGCCAGGAAGAAGATCGAGGCGCTACCGGGAGGTGGGTTCTTGCTGGGTCAAATATGAGTCGTGCTTCGAGGAGCCACCGAAAGCGATAACTCCCGTCGAAAGCAAGTTCTTCCAGAACTTCATCTATAGCGCCCTTCGCGCGGGGTTGCATGCGCTGATGCTCTGCTGAGACTCGAGAGGAGTGCAACAGTCAGAACGAAGCGCTTGCCGGCCTGTGTTTCTGACAGGTTGCAGAGCAGATTCCGCTGAATCCGCTGAGCAGGTACGATCATGCTGAATGCCATCACCCTTGGCTTGCAGGCCGCCATGGTCATGTTGCAAGTTCAGCTTGAGGGGCTTGCATCTTGACGCTCTGAGGCCGACTTAAGTGGAGATCCGTGGGATCTGCAGGGGGCCTCAGCTTTGGGCTTCCCAGACCCTGAGCATTCAGATCATGTGGGTGCTGCCCATTCTCTTGTGAAGATCAGGATTTGGCTGGTGTGCGAGAACATGTTCACGGCGATCTTCACAGTTGAGTTGGCCACGATCCCGATGTAAAGCTTACATCGCCTTACCTCTCAATGCCTGCACAGCTGCACCGATACGCACAAACGCCCTTTCTGCCCGCACAGTCTTTTGCTTAGCAGCGCGACCGGTGTAATGAGGTGTTGAAGCTCTACTTTCTCGGGATTGGATTTTTCTATTCGGTGGTGCACCCAGTGTTGAACCGCAAACGTCGTCGGGCATATTGCAATGCATTGGACCCGTGCAAGTTCATGACTTGCAGCCACGGACTTCGACCAACCGCAAGTCTGCTGCTGCCCAGATCGAGAGTCGTACCATTCAATTCTGGAATTTGCTGGATCTTGTGCGGCTCTCAGTGTAGTCTCTCGAGAGGAGTATGAAGAGCAGGTGCTCTGTTAAGCATCATGAAGTTCTTTAGGCATAGGAGTCCTTGCAGCCATGGCTTACCACAGGTGATCGTTCTCCTTGCCATTGTGGACTGTTGGGTCCTGACGCTCCTTGCCAGCATTGTTGAACGCTGCTCGCACAGCCGCATGCCTGTGGGCTCCACCAGGTTTTTTCCTGAGGTGGACACGTCCGAGCCCAATGTATGCAGCAGTGCGTGCATGGATGGCACGCAAAAAGTATGGCGATGTAGTGACGGGCATGAATTATTGCCCGGGAAAGCTTGAAGTCGAGGCAGCTTATTCGAGTCATGCAGCTGCTTCGCATTATGAGGACACCGGCAAGGGGCTATGACTGTTGGGCGCCGATGCTGTAGGCACTGCAAGGCTTGCAGAAGGTTGGATTCGGACCATGAAGCCGGCCGGCAGACCACCTTGAAAGCAAGCTTGAGATGACAGAGAAGTGGAAAGCGAGGGTTGTGGGAGGTCCGGTGGCTTGGTAGGCCCTGTGGATACGTGCGGCAACTTAATGTGCATGCGGTGCCTGAACGGCCTCTTGTACTTGAAGTGGCGGTCATGTCACAGCCTCGGCCTGCACAGCAGGATCGCAAAGCTTCTGCGGCTTCGACGGGAGCTAGTCGTGCGAGACTTGTCCACTTCATATGCAGTTTCGAGCGGAGTGAGTTGAGCATGCCTCAAGTATGTGCCAAGAAATCTGGAGACATACCGAAGACATGTTGTGGCCACATGTTGATTGCCAAGGCTATCATCGAGGGACTCTTCTGCTCTCTGCAGTGTATGGCCGTGTCCTTAGTGACGCTAGTGTAGCGACGAAGCCCCAGCTCCGGGGATAGGACAAAGAACTCCCTTCAGCCCAGGTCTGGATCGGTCCGCGGCTTTGTCCTGCTGTCATGGAATCATCATCGAAGGAGAACAGCTGCATTGTTCCTTTGTGGCAGAGGCTTCCTCCTCTTGATCGTCATCTATGCATTTGGCATTTTTTGCCGAAACGTTCTCGGCAACCTGTCAAACAGCCACTACGAAGGCCACCCGCTTCGCACCGACACTTTAGTCATTTCCGCCCCTCGAAGACTGTCCTAGGAGGATAGCCTGGGCACACTTCAATCGTATATCCCCGCCGCAAAGATGCAACCACATCATCGCACGAACCCAGACGGCCAGTTGAAATGATTCGGTACAGAATAGAGGCTCACGGGCAGGGAACTAGCAAGGCCGGCCCGTGCCTGGCTTGGAGCGAGAGACTGCTAGATCCGTTAGCGCCAGAGGGTACGAGCCCTCACTTTGCAGTTCGACTGTCTTTACAAAGTCATTTGTGGCAATTCTGGCTTTCTGCATCTGCAGAAGGCAGTACGGTAGTTCTCGGGGCACTCGCCGAGTGAAACAAATGATGGACGTTTGCACATCTACTTCTATGCACCTGCCGCCAGAGATGGTTACCCGGTCTGTTTAGAATGCCCAGCAACTGAGCACACGTGCGGCACAAGCACGTTGACTCTAGCTCCAGCTTGCTGCTCCTGGGCAGATCGCATTGACAACGAGATGTACTTTGGGTCGCTTCCAAGAACAATGCTCACGCCGCTTGGCTCAAGATGTGATGCTTCAGTGACTCTTGGCGGGGGCAGACTGCGCTTTGCGCCAGCACGGCCTTGCTGAAACTGCGCGAGATGGAGAATCTGCCCTGGATTTTGGTTCACAGGCTGTTCAACGTTTGCCTCATCGATGGATGGTGCGGCCCTTTGGTCCTGATGTCGGTCGCATTTCTGGTGCCCGACACTCCGCTTCAGGTCAACAGTGGTTTGGCCGCAGATGCTCGTGCGCCCCTCTTTCGATGCAAGAGATCGAACATGTGACAAGCAAGAGGCAATTTGCATGAACACCAGTCGTCCTCAGTTCAATCCGTTGATGGTGGTGCCCATGATGGTTTTCCTCTGCGTCACCTGCTTTGGGCTCATGAATGTGCCGTGCTCAGCATCAAGGCTTAGCGGCTTGCAAGGTCGGAAGTCCTGGTCCAAGTCGTCGCGCCTCCGAGGCCCTTATCGGCGTCATCGTGGAGCGCACGACTGCAGCGCACCAGAACATGAATACCATCCAAGAGGAGGCGCAGAACAGTGGACCGCTGCGCTTCGGAATTCCTCTGCGCAGTCTGATCGCAGGTTCTTAGAGAGAGCAAGATGCGCATGGACCGGCCCTCGGTTTCCGCCGTGGAATGCAGAGCAAACGCAATCCAGTACTGTCCTTCTTGCGAAGAGTTCGAAGATCCAAAGTTTCCTTTTCCTGCTGGCAATCCCTTCGCGGTGTATCCTGCCAGCCACGTCTTGATGTCGTACATTCATGCGGTTCTGCAAATGAATCCTGGACTTCGTAGGCATCGTATGACGGATTTCCGAGAGTACCCCGGACCCCCAAGAGCGTGTCCCTTCGAAGAGCCAGAGGTGGCCCAGCTCCTCGACATTATAGACTCCTCAGACGAGGAGCGCTCCAACAAGCACAGGGAGTCTGCTTCAGGCTGTGACATTGTGGATGCAATTGAGGAGCTTTGTGGCAGGTCCATGGTTCACTACGTTTCAATTGTCAATGGATCAGTGGGCCCATCACGAATTGGATGCATCACTCTAGCTACTCTAGCTGAGGGAACCCGTATAGGTTTCCCGAACACGCTTCTAGTTCCGACGTCGGTGTTTTCACGAAAGCTTTAAAGTCCTGTAAAACGGTACGATAACCCACGGGCACAACCCAGCTTTGAAGATTTGCAGCTCATCACTCGACGGCGACCACTACTGCCCTTACCACATTACATACTGACATACTGTTGCTGCTCCTCCCGCACCCCTGGCCACCATACCACTACCACAAGTCGCACTGCTACGACAACAACAACAACAACTACTACTACCACTACTACCACTACTACCACTAGTACTATTGTTACTACTGCTGCTACTACTGCTGCTGCTACTACTACTACTACTACTACTACTACTACTACTACTACTACTACTACTACTACTACTACTACTACTACTACTACTACTACTACTACTACTACTACTACTACTACTACTACTACTACTACTACTACTACTACTACTACTACTACTACTACTACTACTACTACTACTACTACTACTACTACTACTACTACTACTACTACTACTACTACTACTACTACTACTACTACTACTACTACTACTACTACTACCACTAGTAATACTATTCCTTCTACTACTACTACTGCTGCTGCTGCTACTACTACTACTAGTACTAGTACTAGTACTAGTACTAGTACTAATACTACTAGTACTACTACTACTAGTACTAGTACTAGTACTAATACTACTAGTACTACTACTACTACTACTACTACTACTACTACTACTACTACTACTACTACTACTACTACTACTACTACTACTACTACTACTACTACCCCCGCCGCCGCCACCACCACCACCACCGCCACCACTAGTTTTGCGACTCCTACGACTACTACTATGGCTACGACGACTGCTACGACTTCTAGGACTACGACGAAGACTGCCACTACTGCCATCATTATCGTGAGTACTGCGACGACGACGAGTACCGCTACTGCTACAAGAGCCCGCAAGCGTTGCGGTCCACTTCAAGTGGTGTAGTCTCCGACAATCCTCAACGGCGGTTTTATGGTGCGACCGGACTCGTGTTAGGACGACAGCGGCACCATCAACCTGGAGGAGTTTCGGCAGGCTTGTTCCAGATGACATGTGGCCTCGTCCCAGCTGTGGGCATGAACAGGTCCAGCACCAGCGGTATGCCGAAGAAATTGCATGCCAGCCTCGTTTTGGCATCACCCGTCTCATCGGCTTCTCACAGCAGTCTTTGCTCTTTGCCAGTTTGCGGCGCTGAACCTGCCGCCGGGGACAGGGACTTAGTCCGGAGAGTCTTGTCCAAGAGAGTCTGCAGCGGCATTACAGCTGAGCGTGCCATCTTCGGCCCTCACTCCCTCCCTGTCTCTGTCAGTCTGTTTGTCGCCCTAAATGGAATATAGTGAGACAGTTTTATGTTTTGTGCCCTGATTCTGATAGTGTTAACTTTAACGACTTTGTGAGTCATCATCGTCGTGGTCCTCATCTTGGTCGTGATACTAGAAGTAGTGGGAGCACATCGAATGACAGCAATATCATCATGACTGACCCTCGCTGTTCCTGCATATGGTAGTTATCTTTCAGGTTCGATGCCGCAGACCTATTTGGACTGTTGGATGCCGATGGCAACGGCGTGCTGGATCGCGAGGGGCCCCAACACAAAAGCTGCTGCTTCACTGAGTCGGGCCTGTGCTGCAAGTCAACATTTGGTGCCCCAGGCTACGAATTCTTGATCGGGTCTCTTGGCTTGTACAAGAGGCGAAGGAAAGTGTTGCTTGGCCACGGTTCCAAGGATTTGCCGCTTGATTTGGTGTGATGAGTTCCAAAGCCAATGCCATGGTCCCAGAATCGTGCGGCTCGCGGGGGCTCACTGGCCAATCACCATTGCACGTATGATTTTTTTGCAGTTTGATTGATGTCCTGCTGCCTGCCTGTCGACGCAACTCTCGTTTAACATCCGAGTGTTGTACCATGGTGGTTGGGGGTGGTGGTGGTGGTGGTGGCGGCGGCGGCGATGGTGGTGGTGATGGGGTGGTGGTGATGGTCGTGGTTGTGTTTGGGGTTTCTTGTAGGGTTGGGCAGGGAAGTGCCGAATCCTTCTGCAGAGCGCAGCAGATGCCTGAAAACGATGCAGGACATGATATCCGAGCCTTCTGTCTCTGGAGGCTTGTTGAACTACGGCATGGCCAAGGTTCGGCAGGAGCAGCTTGGGTGTTTCCATCCTATCTTCGCATGGTGTTTGACTTCTGATGCAAGCCCGGATCTGGCGGTTTCATGCGGGGACACTGCTGAAGCCGTCCGTTCTTTCACTGTGCTGTGAAAGAGAACTCTTCACGATTTCAAGCGAGTAGCATGCAAGTAGCACTTCACACCAGTTGCCGTTCATGAGTCTGATTCTTGGATACGTCGCATGGGTTCGCACTTGAGGTGTTGGACATGTAATGACATGTATTCGCTGACGTCTTCCAGAGCCAATTTGCTCAAGCTAAACTAAAAATAGCAAACGGAAAACCCAAAAAAAGGTGACTTGTCTGCACTGGGGCCTGCATGGTCTGCGTGTGAAGATCCCCATAGAGGTTCCCTCCATGGGATCTCCGTTGCGCAAAGCCGAGGATCTTCTTCGTCCTGGACGTGTCATGGCTGCTCCAGGAGGCCCAAACCAAAGCGGATGCGGATCTCCTCAGCGCCGCCACGCTTGGAGAGGGAGAGGCAGCCACTCAGTGGGAGCTCTGCCAGGCGGTGTACCTCAGTTCGCGTCGCTGTACGTCGGCGACCTTCACCCTGATGTGACGGAGGCCTTGTCCTGGCTTCTGCACATTGCATGAGCCCCTGAGCTTCAGCCGACAACCACAGGCTATGCTCTATGAGATTTTCAACTCGGTGGGCCCCGTGGCCTCCATCCGTGTTTGCCGGGACAGTGTGTCCCGGAAGTCCTTAGGCGCGGCCCGCTTGCTACTTCGGGTGGTTGTCGTGTGAGTAGGTGCTGAGGGTTGACTCACAAGCAAGCGGCATGTGTTCCGACCTGCAGGTTACGGTTATGCTCCTCGGTGGCAATCAGTGCAGTTTCTGTCATCTGCTTGCGGTAACTCACATCCACGCAGAGTGCACCGTCTGTCATGAATGCATCTGGATTCGGCAAGACACTTTGAGCGGGACTGTTTGCTTGTAGCACGCAAGAACCCGAGGTCAATTTCCACAACGTGTGCCACGCTCAGAAGAGGAAGTTATCCACTCCAGTGTTGTGGACGGCATGAGATACTAGCGACTGCACCAGAAGCTGTAGTCCTCAGGAATGTCAAACCAGAGTACTGTTCACGAGGTATATGATAACCTGTACTGCTGAACCTTCAGCCGCACGTAGTAGTAGTAGTAGTAGTAGTAGTAGTAGTAGTAGTAGTAGTAGTAGTAGTAGTAGTAGTAGTAGTAGTAGTAGTAGTAGTAGTAGGAGTAGGAGTAGGAGTAGTAGTAGTAGGAGTAGTAGTAGTAGTAGTAGTAGTAGTAGTAGTAGTAGGAGTAGTAGCAGTAGCAGTAGCAGTAGCAGTAGCACTTGTCGCCATCATTGCAAGCACAAGCTGCAGGTCCGATGCCGAGCGGGCGTTGGACACTTTGAATTACTCCAGCATTAAAGGCCGTTCTTGCCGCCACTTGGGTTGCACGACGTGGTTCCGGAACAGGGTTTATTACTTGGTTGTTGGTGAGTGGCCTTATTGTTCAAGAAACTTCCAAGCCTGCTGGGGATCTGTAAGATGGCATCATCAACATCACATCGACTCGCGCAAGTTGGTTCACCTGTACACACACACAGGCACGCACCAACACACCCTCTCTCTCTCTCTGTCTCCGTTTCTCTTTTTCTCTGACTCAGGAATCATGTGGAGTCAGCGAGACCCCAGCCTTCGCAAGAGCGGTGCTGGCAACATCTACGTGAAGAATTTGGATAAGAACATCGACAACAAGGCTTCCCCCACCTCTGAAGTTCCTTGCTGTGCTTCGGATTTCCTTGGCAGGCTCTCTACGACACCTTCAGCCTGTTCGGAAATATCCTCTCATGCAAGGCAGGCTTTTTTGCAGTGGGTCGACCCTTCTGCGGGCTATCAAATGGAGCCAGAGGGTGGCCACCGGTTTCAGAGGGATGGATGCATCTCTCCATACTCTGCGTCCTTTGCACGTGCTGCCAGGTTGCAACTGACCCGACCGGAAACTCGTACGGCCCTTCCCCGAGTGTGGGCAGGACAACAAGCGAAGGTAGTGTTGCTTCGGTAGGATGATTTACACTATCGTAAAGGCAGTGTATGGTGTGGTGAAGGACTGGATCCTTTCCATCCCCATGCCCAGGTTACGGCTTCGTCCATTACGAAACAGAGGAGGCTTCCAAGCAGGCTCGTCGAATCATCGCGTGGCTTTCCGCGAGCTAAGCCCAGCAGAAAGTATGGCACTTTCCGACACTTTCCATGACAACATCATGCTCTACTGAATAATCCCCGCACATGAGGGAATGAACGCACTTCTGATGGCCTTCCAGACCTTGGGCCTCAAAGTCGAAGTCTGGAACCACAACCCTCCATGCCTGAGTAGAAGATGTGAGGTTATGAAGTCTCAACTAATGGCCCAATCGTCACGCAAAGGCGGTGAAACGTAAACCTTGCAAGCGCATACCACCTCAGCGCCAGATGCTGTGTACAGAATTCATCCGTGGCCCGCGCCGTGAAGGCCATCGAGAAGGTGGATGGCATGATGATCGGTGAGAGGACAGTCCAGGCCAGCCGCAAGGTTTCGGATAGACCAAGGCCAGTCTTGGTGCACAACTTTGGGTTTTAGGACTAAATCACCAGCATTGCCACTTGTATGGTAAGAAATGGTAAGTGACAAAGCTGGTATGTTTCAGTTTTCACCGTGTAGGGGCCCCTAGGTGGCTAGGCCACGCCCGTGTTCAGAGTTGAGGCGAAGGCCGAACCACCCATCTTTGCATCGATACTGCATTAAGCGCGGCGCAAGAATGCAATGCCGGAGCAGGCTTTTTGATCTTTAGTCTTTCCCTTGCCCTGGGTTGTCTCTGGAATGCGAACCAGGGCCCGAGATGAAGGTGGTGTTTCTGACCAGTCTTTTACCTGCTGCAGGTGTGTCTCTTCCAGAAGCGCGACGAGAAGGATGGAGTCGACAAGGAGAACTTCACCAATATCTATGCCGGGCTCTCAAGCTGAACGGGGCAGGCCAAAGGAAGCAGTGCAGTTGTCGCAGTAGGAGCAAGAGTCGCAACAATCTCCTAGCCGTCCCTTCTCAAAGAGTTTCCATCCGGTCGTCTGAGCATGGTGCACAACCTTACAGGTGTTATTTTCTGTTGTTGTTACTCAGCGTCTCTGGGTTTGGCCATGCACAGGTGTATGTGCTGAGATATTCAGTTGGGCTTGGGCTCGCTACGATGGTGAGTTTCATGCGTGCGTGTTGTGTGTGTGTACAATGTTTCTCTGATCTGTCTGTCTGTCGGTCTGTCTATAGGTGCATACGCATGCATGCAGCAATGTATGCATGTATGTATACGCATACCTACATCTAAACGACATGTGAACAGAGCGTATCACATGTGTAAGCATGATGACTTGAAGATGTGTGGCACGAAGATCATGCTTCATGTTTCCGGTGTGTACGTTGTATTTCAGCATGTATCTTAAAATTTCTTGTTAAAAATACACCGCTGTTGATTCTGTGCTCTCCGCCTGATTTAGGTTCGGGTCGTTTGCTATTGTATACATACATATATATATATATACATATATTTATATGTATATATATATCTACACATCTACACACTCCATCACATTTGTCGCTCTTTGCACTGAAACCGCAGGTGTGATTGTAATCGCGCTTTGCGCGCATGTGACTGCCGTTGGAGTCTTCTTCTTAGGTTGTGCACGCAAAGCAAAGCAGTAGCTGTAGCAGTAATGGCAGCGGTGGCAACGGTAGCAGCGGTAGAAGCGTCGTCGTCGTCGTCGTCGTCGTCGTCGTCCGTCGTCGTGTTCATGGTCGTAGTGGTCGACGTCGTCTCGTCGTCGTCGTAGCAGTAGCAGTAGCAGTAGCAGTAGCAGTAGCAGTAGCAGTAGCAGTAGCAGTAGTAGCAGCAGCAGCAGCAGCAGCAGCAGCAGCAGCAGCATAGCAGCAGCAGCAGCAGCAGGAGCAGGGAGCAGGGAGCAGGGAGCAGGGAGCAGGGAGCAGGGAGCAGGGAGCAGGGAGCAGGGAGCAGGGAGCAGGGAGCAGGGAGCAGGGAGCAGGGAGCAGGGAGCAGGGAGCAGGGAGCAGGTTGCAGGTTGCAGGTTGCAGGTTGCAGGTTGCAGGTAGCAGTTAGCAGCAGCAGTAGCAGTAGCGGCAGCAGTAGCAGTGTAGTAGTAGTAGTAGTAGTAGTAGTAGTAGTAGTAGTAGTAGTAGTAGTAGTAGTAGTAGTAGTAGTAGTAGTAGTAGTAGTAGTAGTAGTAGTAGTAGTAGTAGTAGTAGTAGTAATTAGTAATTAGTAGTAGTAGTAGTAGTAGTAGTAGTAGTAGTAGTAGTAGTAGTAGTAGTAGCAGAAGGAGTCGTAGTCGTAGTCGTAGTCGTAGTCGTCGTAGTCGTTGTTGTAGTGGTAAGTGGTAGTGGCAGCGCCAGCGCCAGCGGTAGGTAGCGGTAGCGGTTGGCGGTATTGCTTGTGACTACTAGTGGTGGTGGTGCTGCTGCTGTGCTGCTACTGCTACGACTGCTGCTGCTACTGCTACTGCTGCTACTGCCGCTATTGCTATCGCTGCTGGTACTTGCTGCACTGCTACCATTACCTCATGTCTATGCACAGTCTTGTTGTTGTGGTGCCTATCTTCGTACCACGGCTAACATGGATCATCTCGAATTCGATTCCCAGGGAAGGTCATGTCATGGCGCTGGCAGACCGTCTAACCTCCACCTGCAGGTCAAGAACTTCCCCAGCGAGTGGGACGACGACAAGCTGCTGAGCATTTTCAGAAACTCGGCTGTACTCGCTCAGTGCATTCATGTGCGGGAGCGGCAGGAGATTGCGTTCTGTGTGCTGTGCATTTTCTCGCTCAATAAGGTGAGTTCGGCCCGGTTGCCTCCCACGCCTTGCGTAAGGACAGGGACCGGGGCCAGACGTGGCAAAGAGAAGGGAAGGCAACTCAGGACTCCTTCCAGATCCCACATAAAAAGCTGTCATGAGGACGCCAA